GTTCTTGATTCGGCTGATGATGGAGATTTGGAGCAGAGGGTGGCCGATTTGCAAGCTGTGAGAAGATCGGTTTCGCTGGATTCTGTATCGGCTCTGGGAATCAGCTCTGTTCTGAAAGTGGATTGTTCTTCTGGAGAAGGTGAAATGGGGCAGAAATGGGGTTCTTCTGCTGCCATGAACAGGTCTGTTTCTTGCAGTGGGAAGTTTCTGATGAGAAGTTCCACTCAGAGAAGTTGTGGAACGAATCAAAATTAAACTGTTTTTGTTATTTTTGTTTTGTTTTGGGAGATGTCTCTGAAGATGGAGATGTCTGAGAAACTGGGCTCAAGAAGCTGAGAGGTTTCTTCAAAAGCTGTTTCTTTTTTTCTTTTTTTGCTTTCTTTTTCTATACAGATGATTCGAATGGATTAATGATATAAGTGCATATACGAGGTTGAAATTGAAACATAATTTTGGTTTTGTGTTTGGTTCTTCAGACAGTGGATATGTTATACAAATTGTCTGGTTGAATTGCTGCTCTAAAGAAACAAGAAACAGAAAAACACTATGAATAATGCAAATCCCAAAACTGAGTGATTCAATTCTTGGTTTATATTGTGTTAACTTGGATGGATTAGAACTTAGAATAATTTGATTATGACTTTGTATAGCAATTGGGGTTCATGATTACTTGAATTCTATGGTTTTTTGTTCTTCAATTAGAGAATTGATAATGAAATGAAAGAATAGCTCAAACATATATCATATGTAGAAGATAATATGAGACTAGAAGATATAGTTTAATTGAGTTTTTACTTGGTTTGATATGAAAGACAAGAAGATGATACTTTTTGTATGGGCTTTATTTGCCCAAATATTTGGCACAAAACCATCCACGGTTGAAACAACCACTCCATCATTTACTATGTACCAATGTGACATATTACTTAAATGATAAAACATATTTATATATTTAAGTAAGGCTCATTGTTGTTTTCAGAATGCTGGTCACGGTTCGTGTCACGTTGTTTTTCAAATTCTTATATATCATTTCTTCATCACCATGAGTTTCAAGCCGTTGCTTGGTATCAATGTTAATACTTTCAATTTGATTCTCTACTGCAAAATCTAATGGAGTGTAGTAGATATCTTAAGCTAA